TATTTAAAAAAAGAAAGTGCTCCCTCCAAACAAAAACTAATACAGCAGCCTAAGATAGAGATTCTCAAACAGTGACCATCTCAATGTGTAAATTTAATAAATGTTGGGTAGAGAAATTCCGTTTTTAAAAACCAAAAAGGAATATTGGAATACTGTTTCCCATTTCTTCACATGCTGAAAGTGTAAATTCTATCATGTCCAGGGCTTGAAAAATTTTAGAATGTCTCACCAGTGAGTCAAAAATTTCACCAGTCAGTATGACCAGACTATAGCCTTGCAATTTATTGGGATTGGGAATCACTGATTTATACCCTCAGACTTTGGTTGCTTTATTACATGTGTGCCTGTGAGGTCATGAAGCTTGTATTCTGAATCCTTTCTTTTGAATGTCTCCAGCAAAAATAACACCGAAAGCAAAAACGCCCGGCCTCTTAAGAAGCCACGGTTCCCTCCCACCCAGGATGTGTCCTTGTTCGGTTGAAATTAGGAGCAGGGAATCTCTATATTCTCCAGCATGGGACTACTCTACATTCTCCTGCAGAGCTGTATCTCTATGTACTGCTTGAACTCTCTTCTCTCGAGAAGAGGGCCATTTTCTTTTGCAATAGGAGGGGAGGACTGTAGATTTAGAGAGAGAGAGAGAGAGACAGGCAGAGGGGAAGGAGGCAGGCAGGCAGGGAACTGACTTGTCGAGCAGCATTTTTCACTTGTCACAGACGAGTGGACGAGTGCATTTTTCAAGCCCTGATTATGTCATTCTTTTGCACATTTAAACCCAGTTTTACTTTGCCATGTGCAAGAATTCAGGTTGTTGTTGCTAACATGGGCCTGGGAACTAGTTTTCTTGCTCTATGTTCACTGGGAGGATTGCATGGAAGGGTTGCATGGACTCTGTGAGCAGAAGCTAGAATCCAAGCCAGTGTCATTGCCAAACCTGGGCCTATATAGTCATATTACATGGGTGAAGCTATAGAATCTATGACAATATTTGTAGCATATAATATGCAGTATTTGAATTCTGAAATTCAGGGGAAGGTGGGTGGTCAATCAGGGGTTTATTACTACATATTTAAGTGATTCAGAATAGATCCGCAATGTTTTTTGATAGTTGTCGGCTAACTAAAAATATTAATCCCCCGAGTTAGAAGCCTGAGAAAAAATACCTGAGGGACCAGATATTTTGTGCGACAACACTTTGAATTTGGTTCTGGTAGTGATAATAAATTGCAGGGATGAGCATCCGTTTAGAATTACTCCTTTTATACTGCAATTCCTGCCTACATTGCTGTTTTGTTAGAACCTGAAACCTAATCTCCCCAAGGTTGTACCGAAACATAAAAGTAGATCCCACAAATCAAAAATCTGCTCGCTTCTGCAGTATGTCACAAAGATGATTGTACAAGCCTGACACAGTCAACAGTTTCCATGTTCTGGTTCTTGAAAAGTCTCGAACAACAGCAAAACCACCACCTTCGCGCGCAGGTCCTATGCTTACTATATGAGCCATGATGCTGAGTTTATGCAAAGACGGCTGTCGGTTGAACAAGACAATATCACCATCAATAAGGTGCCTCTCTACAATGTCGCCATACTTCAGTTCCTGAGCCATCTTTTCACGGTTTCCATATTTCAAAAACCTGGATGAGGGAGAGGAAAGAGAAAGAAAATCAGTAACAATATAGCAAAAACTCGCGAGGCAACTGGGTGTTTTTCAGTTTTAACAAGGATCTTGGCCATTTGGAGCCAAAGTCACACTGAAACTGTTGGCAACTAGAGATGGGCATGAACTGACAGTTCGAAAGTTCACTGCGGTTTGTTTTCCAGCCAAACAGCTGATCCGCAGTTTGGTGCCTTGACCCCTCCAGCAGGCGCCTACTCACTGGCAGCGCCCAAGGAGGTCAGCTCTTCAGTGAGGAAATGAATTGTGCCAAAACACAAAGCCAGCAGCTCATCACCAGTTTTAACAGAATGATTATCACAGATGAAAGCCTTTCTGTATCATTTTGCCAGAACCTGGAAGTGCTGTTTGGAAAAGCTAACACACTGGCATCACTTTGGGCTACATGCATGTAATTCACTGCCATTACCGAGGATGTATTGGCAAAGTACACTGTTATGTCACACATAACTTTGAAATCCTATTTTTTTAAAAAAATAAAGAATACAGAAGATTGTCCCAAATTCCTCACAATAACCCAAAAAATAATGTTTTGCAGTAGTGACTAAATGTCATTCATTATTCTAAACTGTGCAACATGATTATTATTAGAAAAAGGAATGCAGCCATGTCATCCATGAGCAAAATCCAGAAGCGAGACTAGGTTATAACTTTATTGGACAACTAAAATATCCAAAAGGCACAAGCTTCAGAATTTTCAGGGCTTTTTATCAGGCTAGGCGTTGGAGAACTCTTGGGGGGCTGGGAAAGAAATTGAAAAGGTTAGGGTTTTGGGTCCTTCCCCCAGATTTACAATGCCCAACTCTTAAGGACTCAAAAGCTTAACATCCCACTGAAAGTAACAACCTTATCTTTCAGGGTTATAACAGTGCTACTTTTTAATATGTTGCTTCCATGCCCAGCAATTCAAACCCTGTAAGGAAAGTTTTTAGAGTTCTTTACCTTTGCTCAAATAATAGTGAGAAACTATTTGTGCTCAACACACAGTCCTCTGCTCAATCCAGCAGCTAGAGGAGGTGTGCATGCAGAACATTCTTTAAAAAGAAATTTGTGAAAGAAACCTTAGGTTAAGACTTGCATTTGAAAAAAAACCCACACCTGGAATGGGAAAACCATACTTAGCTCATGTTCAAATTGTATCTAAGCAGGCATATGCATGAACTTAGGTCATGCCTTTCCTGTGCGATGACAAGAACTGGGTCGCTTAAGATAATAATGCCCAGCCAGTTTTTTTTAATGCTCCTATTAAATGCATTAGCTTTTAAAAATAGCTTTTCCAGTCAATCAGGGGTATCTTTTAGTTATCAAAACACTTTTAATTGATTCACTTAACCCATAAAAGCTTTATGTCCTCATAATTATGCTCATCAGCTGTCAATGTGTGTGTGCTGGAGAGTCACTTAACCCATAAAAGCTTTATGTCCTCGTAATTATGCTTATCAGCTGTGTGCTGGAGAGGGAGAAAGAGAGTAGGAAGAGCCAGGATTTGGTCAAGAAGCCAACCCACGTCAGCTGCCTTCTTACGGAGGTCCCCATACACACAGCTCCAGCAGTTGACCCACAGCTCTACATGGCAACTGCACTAAAAGTAAACTCTGTGCCAGGAATGAAAGAAGTGGAGGTGGTGGTTTTCCGCGGAGGCTCCCCATGTGTGCCAGAACTCTGAGCTTTCATGTGCTTGTTCTGGCAAATATGTGGAGCTTTCACAGAGGCAGCAACCTCGATCTCTGGAATGAAAGAAGTGGAGGTGGTGGTTTTCCACGGAGGCTCCCTATGTGCGCCAGAACTCTGACCGTTCATGTGCTTGTTCTGGTAAATATGTGGAGCTTTCACACCTCAGTCTCTTCAGACTATTGCTTTCAGGTACGGACCGGACAATAGAAGGAGCAAGACTATTGCACTCCCTTCATAAAGTGCACTCTCCTCAAGCTTTCAGAACACTGGAATAGGGCTAAGAACGGGCAAAGCAAGATCAAGTGATACCGAAGTCAAAAGCAGCCATTTCAAATACAAGTTCAGACCTTTTCATTTGCGTGTGTCTCTGCTGAATGAAGTTGGCTCCAGGATGAACCTCTGGACCATTCCGGACCAATTTCCTCATGAAGTCTATGTTAGCTTTATTGACCTGTAATAGGAACGCTCTTGTTAAAGATAAATAAAAAAACTTTTTTCAGACCTATCGTTCTTTTAGAAGGTGAGCCCAAGGATTCTGGTTAATCAAACATTAAGGAAAAAGCAAAATAGAAAAAATAACAGTGGTTAATCAAACATTAAGGAAAAAGCAAAATAGAAAAAAAAAACAGTAAAAAAAAAAGACAAAAAATGTGGTGGAACTTCAAAGATTAACTTTTATATTTTTTTAATGTGAGCTTTCATGGACAAGTCCATTTCATCAGACAGGCTAATCAAAGTTATGTTTCCTTCCTCCCTTTTGTGTATAGGAAGCAACAAATAGTAATATATTCAATGATGAAAAGTGAATAAGGATACTGTTTTCTCATTGCCTAAAGTTAGTACCAGGAATCATAAGGTTCAGAAATTTCGATAGTTCCCTAGGACAAGAAAGAGAAACTGCAAAGCTGCAAAAGTGCCTTTGTGTTCTGCCTCCATTTGGCAGCCTCTTCCACAGATTTTCATAGCTGTGATAATCAGCCCAAGTATTTTAGGACCACAACTGTAGTAGGATTACAGGCTGGACTACCCCACCCTTGTGCACAGAATTCAAAACAGTGTCATCATGTACTTTGTAATTTTGGATAACACAGGTTGTTTCACGGCGCAGGGGTTAAACTGCAGTACTGCAACCAAAACTGCTCATGACCTGGGTTCAATCCCAGGTAGCCGGCTCAAGGTTCACTCAGCCTCCCATTCTTCTGAGGTTGGTAAATTAAGTACCTAGCTTGCTTTGGGGGTGGGGGAGATGTGTGTAAATTGAGTACCTAGCTTGCTTTGGGGGGTGTGGGGAAGTTGTGTATTAAATTTTAAACCACGAAGAGAGTGCTTTAAGCACCATGAGGCAGTATATAAGCAGTACATTTTGCTTTGCCTTACTGGGCACCATACAGGGAAAGGCTCTAATTGCCGTTCACTGACAGGCACTATGTGTTTACCAAGTGCAACATTCTGATTTGGTACAAGGCACTAAAGAAGAGTGATTTTTCAGAATGTTAGTATTATTTAAACCCTGAAAGTTTACTACTTGTGCTAATAACTCAATTCTCACCTTGGTAGCTCACCTCCAGGTGTTAATATGCAACGGTGATTTTCTGTTTTCAATCCCACTTGATTCTTACTTCCATTCTTATACCTGATCTCATTCACTCCCACACTGTGTATGCGTAGGTAAACTTGTAATCCAAATATTGTACATTATCCCACACTGTGTATGCGTAGGTAAACTTGTAATCCAAATATTATACATTATGGCTGAAATCCTGTTGCTCAGCATGGTAAGTCACAACTAGAGTAAATCAATGAAATCTATGGAGGAGTTGACTCACTACATTCACACTGATTCAATGGGCCTGCTCGGGTTGTGACTTACTATGATAAGCAACAGAATTTTAGCTTCTGTGTCTGAGGAAGTGGATTATAGTATTTGAAAGGTCACACTAAAATAAATGTGTTTGTCTCAGTCACAATACTTTTGCTTCTGTTTTGTTGTTCTTTGTGTAGAAGCAGACTAACCGGGCCACCTCTCTGAAAATTGCTAGAGGACAGTGTTGTACAGTGGGGTCTTGTACTTCTGCTAATAACTCGATTCTCACCTTGGTAGCTCACCTCCAGGTGTTAATATGCCAAGGTGATTTTCTGTTTTCAATCCCACTTGATTCTTACTTCCATTCTTATACCTGATCTCATTCACTCCCACACTGTGTATGCGTAGGTAAACTTGTAATCCAAATATTGTACATTATGGCTGAAATCCTGTTGCTCAGCATGGTAAGTCACAACTAGAGCAGGCCCACTAAATCAATGAAATCTATGGAGGAGTTGACTCACTACATTCACACTGATTCAATGGGCCTGCTCGGGTTGTGACTTACTATGATAAGCAACAGAATTTTAGCTTCTGTGTCTGAGGAAGTGGATTATAGTATTTGAAAGGTCACACTAAAATAAATGTGTTTGTCTCAGTCACAATACTTTTGCTTCTGTTTTGTTGTTCTTTGTGTGGAAGCAGACTAACTGGGCTACCTCTCTGAAAACTGCTAGAGGACAGTGTTGTAGTTTGAAAAGACTGACCTTTCGGACTGCCTGGACTGTATTTTCCCTGCCTTCCCTGAACCTTTCTTGACCTAAGAAAAAAAAGAAACAAAATATCCCCCTCTAGTGGTCGAAGGCGGAATAACAGCTTCCCATTAGTTTCTATGGACGGAAAAGAGCAGATACGGACCAAATGGTTTTCAATGCATTCCTATGGGAAATTCAGATTTGACCTGAGAACTTTTTGACTTGAGAGCCGCCTTCCAATATGGATTAAGTTCTCAAGTCAAGACCCCACTGTAGTTTGAAAAGACTGACCTCAGGAGCTTGTTCAGTTAGTGTTGTGCAAAATATAACTATGATGAAATAACTGGTTTTGCTGGCACACCAAGAAGATTCTACATTGGAGGAAAATGTTTTTTAAATGTAGCTAAGTTTTCCAGTAAATTATTACCAATCCATAAAGTTAAAGTCAGGGAGTAATTTCCTTATTTTAAAAGCAGATAAAGTATTTATTTCACTATACAACATTTCACAAGTTACTCTGAGCTGTGACATCACACATGCATGAGTGTTTAGCTGTTCAAGTCACTTCAACAGAGTAAAATATACCTGCGAAGCTACAAGAGTAAAACCATATTTTTCATTATGTTAAGAAGTGAGGCAGCAGGCAAGGGGGAGAGGACAGAGGCGTCCCAAATGTAGCAGGAGGAAAAAAGAAGGAAGCCTGAGTTTGGGATGAGAGTGACTCAAGAGAGGGGGTATTAAAAATAGGATAGTTTGTGTGTAGTGGGGTTGTGCATTTGTAGGCATCATGAGAAAGTTTGTGCTGGGCAAGAAGCATGATCCTGAAAGTAAGAAACAGAAATTTCTGAGTGACGTGATTGGATATTCTGCTTTGGTAGTGCAGAAGGATGCTGAAGATTCGGACCAGGTTATTGGCAAAACGTTTAGCCCCAACAGCCTGCCTTTCCATGAAAGAGAGTTTTTGTGCCTGCTACATCCGTTTGTGACACTCTCTCAAGATTCCAAATGTGTCAACCAGCTCTGAAGGTTGGAGACTCATTACGTAGATGACCTGCTCTGGATGGCACATAGGTGTTCTGAGAGATAGTGTGGCAAAGGCACTGTACCACACGGGGGGCAAAAAGGTACTTAATTCTTCCTGGTTACCTTTTCAGGAAATGTCAGTATTTTTGCAACGTGAACAGGCACAGCCACTTCATCAATTCGCAGGTTTGGGTCAGGAGAGATAACTGTTCTGCCTGAGAAGTCTACTCGTTTACCAGACAGGTTGCCTCTGAACCGACCTTTAAAAACGGGGAGGGAAAAGGCAGAGTGAGTGCAGCAGCAAAGTTAAGTCAGTCACTAAAACTTGGTTCATTTTTCAGAGGGGCGTGAGAGCAACATTCTTCTCACTATTTTTTTCTATGGCGCTATTAGTACACTTTGTACTTCACAGGATAATAAATGAGCCACACACCTGGCTGAAGAAGTTACAAACTTAACATGTCTGCCTGCACGAATATTGTGGAACACCTTCTCCAATGAAGTGTGGATTGCCTCTCTATTCCCCAATCTCTCCTCAGTTACTTTTTTTTACTCCAGGACTTTTGCCTGCTAACTGCCAATGTTTCATTTAAAGCTATGTTTAAACAAGAAATGTTAAAAGGATACAAGTTCATCATTGAAGAAAAGCTCACAGTCTAGTTCTAGGGTAAATACAGCCAAGTGACAGACAGCCTTCCTGGAAACCCAAGGCAACAACTTAGAAAGACAACATGCACAGTCAGCCTAATGGCAATAGCAATAATCAAGAGTAATCAATAGCTCAAATCCATAAGTACAACTAGAGTTGGTCCACTGAACCAATGGAGCTAAGAGAGGAAATGACTCACTAAATCCGCACTGGTTCAATGGGCATACTCTGTGACTTACTACTAGATTTCAGCCAATATGGGGTCAGATGGACTGGCTTGTCTGATTTGCAGTCCAATACATCATCTCTTCCTCAGCTCCTCCACGCAACCTGCTGACCTGTAGACTCTAAGGGGTCAGAGAAGCCTGTCGACTTGTCCCACAACAGACATTTCTCTTCATAGAGAAGTTTCCCTTTGTGTGGAACTCAAACACTGCATAGCGCTTTAAAAAGTCTTCCGTGTGTCCTTGTATAAATTTTTTAACCCACTTCTGGGCAAAAAATATATATAATATAATATATAACACTTTAAGATAAAATAATACTTTCTATTGTTCTAATAATTCAGATATTTTATCTTCCTGACCTTTGATGTTTTTAATGTAAAAATGAACTGTGTAACAGTCAAGCTTATATTCTTTTATTTAATAAAATTAAACAAATTGGTGTTGACTGTTTGGAAAAAAAATTGAAAAAAAAAGTTATCATGCTAACAATAGTCAGAAAAAGATATTGCAGCCACATAGTAGATTATACAAAAAAAGCAATTACCTTGAGAGGTGGTGAGGGCTCCAATACTGGAGGCATTCAAGAGAAATTTAGACAACCACCTGGCAGATAAACTTTGATTTATATTTCTACATTATAGGCCCCTTCCAACTTTATTGTTCTATTGTTCTATCCTACTATGTAGCCAAATTAAAAAATTTAAAAACACATTCAATTTAATATTTAAAATATTTAGAATGTAGCTGTTTTACCCAAAATAGCTAAAAGGCAGCTATCACAAATAGTTTTTATTAAGTGAAAACTGGTCACATGCTTATCTATTTCAAATTTATCTCTACCAGTATCTATCAATATGTCTTTACTAACCAACACTGCTTGCAAGGATTAATTATAAGAACCATATTTGTATCATCAATTACTGTGGTTATATCCAGTTCGCAAAACCTCTCTCTGTTGCCTATGTTGCTACCTGTAGACACTTTATTTTGGTAACTGCTGGTTCTGTTACATTGTTATCACAGCTTTAGTAACTATTTGATTTGACAATAAATGTGAAAATTTACAAAACTTGCTTTGAAGCTGTTAAGGTGAAAAATTAAACAAGATTAGACAAACATGGGTCTTCCACTGCCATCTAGTAGAACAAAAGGGTGACTCCAAACAAATATATACTTTTATTTTTGCTTCCGTCTTTTTCAAAACTAACCAAGCCCACTTTGAAAGGTTGACTAAGGCAGTTTTGTGCGAACATGATTTGCCAAGGCAAGTAGTGATGATGTTGGAACACTTACCCTGCTTTCCTTTCAGTCTTTGAACAAAGCCTCTGGTCCATTTCTTGGGTGCCATGTTGAGAGGAATACCCGACAGTTCACTATTGATATATAAAGCACACTGCAACTGCAGGAAATCCCAGTCTTCCATTATCATTTGAGTTTTTGCTCCTGATATTCTATGCTTTACACACACAGAGAGAGAGAGACAGAGAGAGACAGAGAGAGAGAGAGAGAGAGAGAAGAAATGGCACAATTAATTCCAAGATATTGACATTCACATGCAAATTTTAGACATATTCTGCTTCAGCCCTTGTGATCCAAATGGAAAAGTGGTTTCATTACACAGTGCTTGACACCCTCCTCCCCTGCTCAAATCCTGGGCCACCAGTATGTTTCAATAGCTATCTTTTATAAGCAATAGCTGTGTGAGAATAGCAAAATATAGTATGGAATTGTACCATTCTATCCCTGTGAAACAGTGTTGTAAAATACCAACGACACCAATATGTGTGGGCCACAGAGTGTTGGGGCATGATCTTAGTGCATCTAAGAGAATATGTTTCACCAGTGGGAAGATCAGTTTTACCTGGTGATGTACTAAGGTTTTTTCATCTGTTGTGTATCAGGAAAGTTACTGAATTGGTTTCAAACTAAGTTAGGACTACCAAAGTTGTCTACAGTGATTTAGTCTGAACTTAATTGTTTCAATGAGATTGAAATTCATTTAATTTAATCCAGAATTAATCCATTGTCTAAAGCAAAACTGCAAGAAGGTAACTGAATGGAACAGTTTAGTTCAAGCTCCTCTTCTATTGATGATTTCAGTATCTGAAAAAAGTGATATGAAGAGCGGAAGTCAGAATCAAGGTAGCCGTTGTTTAATATCTCCTATGACTGCAAACTCATTAGAAATGAACAGGACCAGCCTGCATGTTTTTGTATGTACCGGTAGATACGGATGCCACACCTATGCTTGGCATGAGACTACAACACAATAAATGCACATAGAAGAGAACTTGAAATGTTGTCTGGCATGTTCTCTGTCCATAAGAGTTAATAGTTTCCCATCTGGCAGTCAGTCAAAAAGCACCAATAAGAAACAGAACATGAGCCGCCACTATTATTTATGCCTGTATGCAAAATCAAATGGCAACTCACCTTTTTGATCACATCATTGAGGAAAATGATTTCTGTTAGCTTCATTGTTAAGTCATCCTCGTTGGTGCCAGATTTTAAATCGCTCACCACAGAAGGCCGTATGCACAGTGGGGGAACCAAGAGTCGGGTCAGGATCATGTCAGAAGGTTTACCCGATTCAGGGTTCATCAAAAGCAGCGGAACATCTTCTGCTGGAATTCTCTTCAATAGATTCAGAACCACCAAGGGATTCAGGTTCTCCTGCAAAAGTCAGAAGATTTACAACCACATGGTAACGCTACAGGGAAAAGAGATCCATGTTCAGTTAAATTTCAATACACACTCCCATCCACAGACTCCCTGGGTAGCTTTCAAGCAACAAGAAAGAGCTATGTCACCATTTCAGGGACAAAAATGTTTACAAATAAATTGTAAACAAAACAGGAGAGCAGCCATCCAGCAAATGCTAGATGAGCATTTGCACATGAGCTGAAGTGTGTTTAAACGATTAATGTCTCCAATTCCCAAACTTCAAGTAATTCACTGCTTCAAAAGTAATTGTTTCTTTCTTGCCCTCACATTCCCAAACTAGAAATCTCAGTGGGTATCTAGACTAAAGTGCCCTGTCCAAGCACTTCAAATGATAAGGATGGAGAAGAAGCTGGCCCCTCCGTTCTTTATTTCCCCATGCTGCTGGGGAAGGTCTCCAAGGGAAAGCCACTCACAAGGGAAAGCTGAATGTCATTACACAGCTCTGTGGGGTAACAACCCTTAATACAGCAGGGCTCATGACAGCATGGAGTCTCATAACTGTTTTCAGCTGAATGTGAGAACCAACTGTCTTGCATACCTTCCCTGGCAACGCAGGTAAAACTGAACAAGCATCCCCAGAACACCTTCCACACTGAGTATTCAAAATACTGAAGATGGATAGAATTTATCTGTTTCCACTGTTCCATTATTTTCAGTTTTTCTTCCTGTTCTGCTCTACATCCTCCCATTTTTGCTTCCTACCGTACAGCTATGCCACTTCTCCTTTTGTTTCTTCAGGATTCCCATACCACGTCACCTCCAATTTAAGGCGAGAATTCCCAGCAGCCCTCCATTTCAACAACTGGAATTGGACTACAATCTTGACTTTGGAGAACCCCAAGTCTTGACTGGTGGTGTGTTAATGAAGGCATGTACATATGTTTGATTTCCCATAAGCAGCTGTTCTCAGAGCATAGGAGAGCTCACAGAAGGCCTGAAATCCTGCAGCTTGTACACAATACTATGAAACTGCGTGCACCCGAAAATCACCAAAAGAGGCCTTTAACCACAAGCCATTTGCTGCTTGCTACTGAAGTCACTCATATGCCATGGTATTTAGCCAAAGATTGTGGTCTGAGGACCCATAAGTTTGAAAATTAGCAATCTTTTCTTGATAGAATTAAGAGATTTAAAGCAGTGGTTCTTGGCCATTTTCTTAATGGCACCTAAGTGAGACTTGGCAACATAAGGAAGCAGCTCCTTAAATGACAACCAGGATTTATAGGAATTCATCTTAGATAACAATTCCTCATGAACTGCTACTTTCCATCTCTGTGAGAAAATAAGCACCACTGGCTTTTTGTCAACAGGCACTCATGAGTTCTGGACATACCAAAAAAACAAACAAACAAACAAAAAACAAAACTTTTTAGGACAGAAATTATAGGTGCTCCTTCAACCCATAATTTATAAAACCATCATGCCACCTTTTCAGCTTCTCAAATTATGTTCTTAAAGATCACATAAAGACAGCAGTCCAAACCAAACCTTATCACTCAAAACTTCAAATTAGAAATGCTTTTAACCTAGGATCTTGTGCCATAATCTTTAGGTTGGAGAGGCACATGATACCTTGCTAGCCTAATAAACAAATGACTAAAACCATCCTCTTGCATAGCATAATTCAATGGTTCTATATGCAAATCCTTGTTTCAATCTAAGAAAAACAACATGAAAGCAGCATTTTTAGGACAGAAATTATAGGTGCTCCTTGAACCATAATTTGTAAAACCTATTCATGCCACTCTTTCAGCTTCTCAAACTATGTTCTTAAAGATCACATAAAGACAGTAGTCCAAACCAAACCTTATCACTCAATACTTCAAATTAGAAATACTTTTAACCTAGGATCTTGTGCCACAATCTTTAGGTTGGAGAGGCACATGATACCTTGCTAGCCTAATAAACAAATGACTAAAACCATCCTCTTGCATAGCATAATTCAATGGTTCTATATGCAAATCCTTGTTTCAATCTAAGAAAAACAACATGAAAGCAGCACATGATTGTGTATGTTTCTTATTCACCTGGGCTTTTCCCAGCAAGGATTCAATCTCTTTATTATGTTCTATAGCAATATCAAATGACTGTATGAAGTTAGAGACGATGGGGTCCATCTTCTTAGTGGTCTTGTATTTTTCATGGATTATTTTTAGTAAGCCACACTTCTTAACAGTGCCTACAAGAAAAATAATTTCCAAACAATTTTATATTGTGCTAAACAATAGATACTGCATAGCAAAGAGTTTTTTAAAAACATTGTAAAACCAATACAAGTCCACTGGTGATTTAAGTACTGATGTACTCTGTTGCTTAGTACAGTGGTACCTCAACTTATGAACTTAATCCATTTTGGAATGGTGTTCGTATGTTAAAAAGTTCGTAAGTCGAAGTACCATTTTCCATTGAAATGCATGGGAATGGAATTAATCTGTTCCAGCATTTCAAAAAATTACCTTCAGAGGTCTGAAAGGGCTTTCCTCCAACACTGGAGGAAGCCTTTTGAGACCTGCCTTTTTGCCTTCGGAAGTCTCAAAGGGCTTCCTCCAATGTTGAGGGGAAAGCCCTTTGAGACCTCTGAAGGCGACAAATGGCTCCGTTCACAAAAAATGGCATTGGCTTACGAACGGAGCCTCGAACTTGTTCGTAGGTCGAGGCTCCGTTTGCAAGTCGATGCCAATTTTTGCGAATGGAGCCGTTCGTAAATCGAAATGTTTGTATGAAGGAACGTTGGTAAGTCGAGGATTGACTGTATTCTGTAAGTATTTTGCATTCCGTTGCTAAGCAAATAAATCTCAAATTTGTTTTTGCTATATATAACATCGTCGTAAAGCGGATTCGTCGTAATGTGGGGCAATCATAAAGCGAGGCACCACTGTACTTGAGATGGAAGTTAAGTGACAGGAAGGGTGCATCACTGTGTCCATTACTTTTACTTTGTTTGTTCGAGGGTACAGCTTCAACTTATAACTTTCTCCTTTAAACCAAAGTTTTCTTCTCTTTGAGATGAATTCTGGGTACTGTACTTTTTCTCTTTTTCCCTGACATACATTTTTAGTTGCTTTCATTTTTTAAACAATCCATTACAGTATTGTTTTTAATATGTAACATCCTCTCACCTAAAAAGTTTGTCGGGACCCACAACTCTTTCATACAAATTAACAGAATCATTATAAATATAAAAAGAAATGAGTCTGAATAAAGTTCATTGTATGGTGCTGCTATGAAAAAGAAATGGGAAACAAATAATCTGTTCTAAGCAGTTTATAGGGAGGAACCTCAAGGCAATAACAATACAAGTGTGAGCCTTTCCCAGACTTACTTCAGAGAATATTATTGCATTGCACGTGGTGAAAAAGTTTGCATTTTATTTATTTTACTCATAAATGGATTGTAGTCGGCAAGATGTACAAATTTCCACTGGCTGATCTAACAGGCCCTGAGACGGCAAAACCAGAAGGGGAGCAAAGAACTGAAAGGTCATTGTCTTGAAGCACCAGAAGGGGAGCAAAGAACTGAAAGGTCGTTTTCTTTACTCACCATTAAAAGCTCCACAGTGAGGGCAGGTGTTCTTCTTCCTGCACTTTTCAGAGATCTTTTTTTTTAAACCTCGTTTTTGAAGGTAGGTCAAGCCAGGTCTCTTCAGGTAATCTAAAAATTGTTTCTGCTCTTCAACTGTTAGCATAATATGGCAACAAGTCTTGCAAATCATCTTAAAGCAAAAGCAGAAAGATCTTTTCAGCTTTGCTTTTATGTCCTTACATCAAAAGACACAACTCATTGCTGGAACACTGCAAGAATTTATTTTTACACACAATGCCACTCAAGATAGAAGGTCGAATGTGCTGAGTAGGGACAGGATTTTCTGGGGGAGGGAGTATACCATTCTCCATTCCAGGACTTCCACCTGACTGGCAGACACCTTTGTTGTTGTTTAGTTGTTAAGTCATGTCCGACTCTTCGTGACCCCATGGACCAGAGCATGCCAGGCCCTCCTGTCTTCCACTGCCTCCCGGAGTTCATGTTGGTAGCTTTGATGACACTGTCCAACCATCTTGTCCTCTGTCGTCCCCTTCTCCTCTTGCCTTCACACCTTACAGACACCTAAATGTGGCTTACCTGGGAGAAAGGCTTAAACTGGAAGCCTTTGGCTGCTAGCCAGGCCTACCTCTGCCTAACTTTCTGTTCAGAAAGCAAGCTCCTAGCTAGCACTGAGGCAGGAAGAGGAAGTTAGGTGGAACTAGGCCTAGCTACACAGCAAAGCCTCTCAGTTTAGGCCTTTCTCCCAGGCAAACCACATTTAGGTGTCTACATGGTGTCTGTCTGTACAACTCCCCAAATGGGGAATTACGTGATTTGTACAAAATATACTTCCAAATATGCACAACTGTTTCGGGAAGTCTGTTCTATACAGCACCTTATTAAAATTAATTACTCAGAAATGGTAAAGACCAGAACAACACTTCTGATCTGTTAATAGCATGAAAGTTCCAGAAAGCAGTATTTTTGCACAGAATGCTTATGTTGCTACGAGGCCCAATCCTAATGTTCATTACTCAGAAGATTTCTCTGGGGTTGACCAGATCTATTTTCTGGTGAGCAAATGCAGGATTATGCCTTTGCTTGTTTAAGTACAACACATTAATCCTTTTAGCATCTGCGCAGGACAAGCTCAGTATTCTCTTCCAAACACCGTAGATATCAAGATAGGGAGCTAGGCTAACTTTGGGAGTTCATAGCTATGGGAAATTTGTATCAGGGTCCTATCTCGGCACATTCTTGGACATTATAACAGATGTTTTGTTCACTAAGCTGCTTCTTTAATAGAACCAATGCAGTACAGTGCATTGAACCCAACTCAATGTCTTTAATGTGTCAAAAGAAAAACAATGGCTCTAAACCAATGGTTCCCAACTTTGGATCCCCAGATATTCTTGAAGTATAATTCCCAGAAATCCTGGCCAGCACAGCTAGTGGTGAAGGCTTCTGGGAGTTCCAGTCCAAGAACATCTGGGGAACCCAAGGTTGGGAACCAATCGCTAGAATGGCATAATGAGACAGTTTCTTGTTCCCCTACCCCTTGCCATTAAACACATTTTTACCTGCAAAATGCCTATCACAGCTTTGAAATATCCCACATGGAAACAAGGCAACTCTAGGTCAATGTATCCATAATGTCCCAAGCACTCTGCCAGATTTTTTCCACAGGTTTCACATGGACGATCTTTTTCACTTGTACCCTTGGTAAGAGGGAAACATAAAACAATCACATGAACAGCAAGAAATGAACATTTCTAGGCTCTTGTCAGATGAATTAGCCATCCTATGGCTAGTACAGTATCTGTAGGACTACAGGGGGAGAAAAAACAACCCTCATGCATGGGCAACACTTACCACTTTTACCACCAAGACTCCCACACAATTTACAAAAGACTGAAACCATTTAAATCAGATTGAAAACATTATAAGAAAATACAAGGCTTCAGAAACTTGTGTACGGCATAGAGGATGACAGAATACAGGGTAAATTTGAGCAAAGCATGAGCAACCAAAAACATGATAGGAAACTTACTACATAGCATGCTAGATCGTACTTCGATCAGTAAAGCCTCTAATACCAATTAGCTCAGGAGTTGGAACAAACATTTTAACAGCAAAGGCAGCAACGCTTCCAGAAACCAGCTGTCCCAATGCCAAAACAAAGCCCAGCTTTCCTTTCCAGGCCACAGTGAGGGCAGGAATCTCCTCCATAGTTGCCCTGCACTTCTGAGATATTCTACAACCCTCCTCAGAAGGCACCGCAGCTGTGAGAGAGCAAACTGTCCAGTTTTCTCTGAACTTCAAGCCAGAGAAAAAAGCCTGGGCTTTGATCTTAGTTATTATACATTTGCTCTTAACCACGTTTGCTGGACAACAAAAGAATACTAACCTGGCAGAATGCGACTCCAACCCTTTACCAATGTGATTTATTAAATACCTTCCACATACATTCTGCACCATTCAACCTTTCTTCCTAAAAAAAGAGGGATTTCTAACACACATTCCAGATGTTGTTAGGTTTTGGTCCACCACACACTCACACAAGCAATAAAATTAGCAGAAATAAGCATGAAAAGGTAAGTGGGATTCATTTTTGTAAAATATTTCAGATTTTGGTCTGAGGAACTCAAAATGTCTTTTACCAAAGGATTCCCCCCCCCCCCCCCAAATATTCTGCCAAGACTCATTCTGCATACAGGAAACAGATGATCCAATTAGAAATAAGCACATTAGTAACAAAACTCTGTTCCTTTTCGCATGGAGCAAATATACCAAGTTGATTCAAGTTGGCCATTAAGCCAGTATGGCCTCCATTTATTGATATCATTAACTTCCTAGAGTTTAAGAATGAATTTTTCCTAAGCCCTGCTATCCAAGATTCTTTCATACTGGAAATGCTGGGATTGAAACTCGGACCTTCTGCGTGCAAAGCAGACATTCCATTAGTACGCATGGGATCCTACCATAACTATCGGCATAATGAACATTTAAAACAGAACTTTAGTAGCTGAGCACATATCAAGTTTTGGATTTTTTTCTGGAATTTACAAAATATTCCATAATTTTTTTTCCTGAAGTGAATCCAAAACAGAGTAAGATTAAGCAGTAAAATGTCTTACCATTCGATGATCAAGAACACCATATGGTAGAGGAGAATGATTGTTATCTTGACTGTACAGATTTTTACTAACCACCTGGATGTGAGCCTGCTGCCTCATTTCTTGAGGAGATTTCATCCCAAAACAGATGTGGCTTCTGGAATTAAACCCCCACCCCCAAAATACAATATTGTTAATGCCTTGATGACTCTTTTGAAGACTCTGCTGCTACTGCATATGGTGGCTTGTCTCTAACAGACCAAAGATGCCCAGAATCTAGCATGTAAAGTTCTTGCTATCGGTCTTAATATATAAACCATGAATGGTCTGAAAAACCAACAGACCATCTTCTCCACATCCCTGTGGAACTGCTAAGATCTGCCCACAGTTGCATCTTAAACTAACCATGAATTGATTACTTGAAACTTGCCTCATTTTTCAAAGATGAGAACTAAATGAAAAAGTGGATTTACAACACACATTTTACTTAGCACTGAATTCACCCTCAAGGATTTAGATCAACTCTGTCCCACAACCAATGTGTATGCTTGATTTTGACATGATAGCTTGATTTTGGCCTCTTCTCCTTCCGTCAGGCCATGGGATCAACTCAAGGATTTAGATCAACTCTGTCCCACACAACCAATGTGTTATGCTTGATTTTGACATGATAACTTGATTTTGGCCTCTTCTCCTTCTGTCAGGCCATGGGATCAGGAAAGAAGAGTACCAGAATCCAGGGCCATTCACTGAATTTGAATGATGGTACATTCAGGACAGACAACAAAATTATACTTCTTTGCACAAAATATAGCTAAACAAGGGAATCCGCTGCCCCAAAGCGGTGAGAGCTGCCAACCTGGCCAGCTTTAAGAGGTGATCGGGCCAAACACATGGAGGGATGGGGTTCTGTGTGAATTGTTGGCCAAGATGAATAAATAACCTCTCCAGTACCAGAGGCAATTATACTGCTATCAATTGCTGGGGGAAAATGGGTGGCTGCTTTTCCATGGCTCTAATATTTTGTTTTCTAAAACTCACTTAAGGGAATAAACTGGCGATAACATGAAAACAAACCCTGGAAAAGGGTGAATGAACCGTGGAGGGTTGTTTTTTAAAAAAATGTTTACATATTCACAATATTGATGATGCCCTCACTTTCACCTAAAAGGCTTCCGAGACAAGTGGCAGTATCTAAAACAAACGCACTGCATCACAGGACGAGTGCAAAACGAGTGACCCTGCGTCCGAAAAAGCATCCTTCGTTCTCGGGTGTCGGCACGGAAGGGGGGGGGCTCCCAGGCGGCTTCGCGCATCGCCTCCATCAGGTCGGGC